ACAGCTAGGATTTTCCAACAGGTGTCATTAAGGGCAGGCATGATTTAGGCAAATCCATTTTCCTTTGTCATGGGGAGTCGGGCAATACAGACATGTCATTATTTTAATTTTGTTTGTTTTCAGGGCAGCCATTTTGAGAACGCTTACTACAGCGACTTCATTGCCAAATTGGCCAAAATTAAGTATGCAGGTAAGGCTGGACTTTATCTTGGGCTGATGCAGAAATGCAAACACTCACCTATCAGGTTCTCTTCACTGCAGTTCCCACAATCCCTTGCCATTGGCTGCGCTGCTCAAGGGCTGATGGGAGATGAAGTCCAGAGCCACTGAATTCCATCCATGCAAGATTTTTACCTGTTTTAAGTATCCCATCTAGAAAGGAAAGGAAAAATCAAATCAATCAATGCCTATTTTTTGCCAACCAAAGAGCCATTTGCCATATTGAGGCACCCGCGAAGTAGGAAAACAGCCTCTGCAAAAAAATCAGCAGGGAAGAAACACATCCCTTCATGCAGCCTGGGCTCTGTTGGGACTACAAAGCCCAGCATTCCCGATCTCCCACCTCCAAAGGGTACCAGGTTTAGAAAGCACCTTTCTCTGTTGCTTTCCTTTTTTCCCGTGTTCCCAAACATCTCCATTTAAAGGCAATTTTAAAAACACTGTGTGATGACCCGGGGCACGGCACAAAGGCAACACAGTCAGATAATCAATAAGATTCCCTTTATTATCTCCAACTTTGCCCTTAATGTCCAGGTTACCTTTGGGCTGGAGAAAAAAACTCCCAGGAACAGCCTTTGACTGCAGGAAATTAAGTCCAAAACATGATCAACACAAACTGTAACTTAAAGTCCAAAACATGATCAACACAAACTGTAACTTAAAGTCCAAACAAGCTAAACTGAAGTAATTAGTTTAGCAGGGCAGGAGCAAGAATTTCAGACTTGAAGGCAGGGCAAAACTCACACAGTTGGGAAGATGCCAGGTACACAGATAAGCCACGACTATACAAGATAAATTCACATTTGCTCCCAACAGCGTGCAGCTTCCTTTTTTATACACTGTATTCTGAGCTGCAGCTAATGAAGGGAATCAGGGCCCTTTCCTCCCCCATAATCCACGCAACCCACATTGCTCCCTTCTTCATTGTCCTAGGATAAAGAAGGGGTGAGCCTGGGTCTTCCTCTGAACTCCCTCTCCCTCGTTCTACCTCTTCCCTGCTCCGCTCCCTGTCAGCTGTTCGCCTTCCTCCTCGGATTCAGACTCTGACAGGATCATGACACATTAGTCGTTTTAGATCCATCAATGCTGCTTCATCTGATTCTGGCCTACATTGCAAGGTCGTTGTACGCAGGGGAGTGTTCTTCTCTTCCAGGGTACTCAACCACTCTCGATAGTCTGGATATCATAGCCATGTTGCCAGAAAACCTCTCCAATTTCTACCGCTATCATGGTTCGCTGACTACTCCGCCATGTACAGAGAACGTGATATGGACTGTGTTTGACACACCTATCAAGCTGTCTTACACCCAGGCAAGCAAACATTCCCTCTTTTGGTTCCTTATATACCACCCATGCATTGAACTTAATCCTGGTTTAGGTTTATGCTGCCTGCGTAAGATTGGAGGTATCTAGGCAACCTTTCGATGAAGTCTCATTCATCATCTTCAGGCTTGTGTCTTCGGCTCTGTGCTTCTCAGAGTGATGTGAGCTTGCAGCTGCTTCTTCCTTTTAACTGCTAGTGGGGGTGTGACTTGATTGGGTAGGGGCTTGGCTGTGTTCTGATTGGGTGGGGCTGTGTTCTCATTGGTTGGGGGTTTGGCTGTGTTCTGATTGGCTGGGTGGTTGGCTGTGTTCTGATTGGCTGGAGGTGTGTTCTGTTCAGGTGGGGGCTTGGTTGTGCTCAGATTAGTCTTAGTTGCTGGGGGATACACACACACACACACACACGTTTTCTTCATCAGGCTTCTGTATTGTTTTATATATATATATATATTCCCACTTCAAAATTTACTTCTTTGCAGATTGATCTCTTGGAAAACACCTTGTTGGACTGGAAGAACAAAACTTTGAGGAACGATTACCGTCAAATCCAGCCACTCAACAAGAGGGTAGTCAAAGCATCCTTCTCCCCTCGGTTGTTTGAAGGTACACTGCAGGACACACACGGACACACACACACGGACACCCTAAAGGGTGTCAAGTAGGATGGGCAAATCCTCTTGGATAGGACCAGCATACATTCCCAGGGCTCGGATTTTAAGATGGGAAACAGGAAGAGAATTTTAAGACTCCACCCAACTCAACCAAAGTGAGAAAACTCAGCTGGAGGATTTTTACGGGCTTTATATCGTCTCTGGATAGCCAGCCCAGGATTTTAATATAATGCTTTTCACTAATCTCCTCCCAGGTCTGTCTCTCAGTATATGTCTATAAAAGTACAAATACAACTTATTTCTGAAGGCATGGGGTGGGCCATTAATACGATGGACAAATGGATCAAGTTTACCGAGGAGCTAAACACTAGAACTCTCCCTTGTTTTTAGGAAGGTGTCGGCCCGAGAGCATCTCCAGTAAACTGAATAAAATACAGACTAACCTTCACGAGATGAAGAAATATCTTTTGGACGTCATAGGCAAACCTGGTAAGGAGCAGCTCTCCTTATTTGTTGACCTGAGGGCGGTTCAGACAACCTCTTCTTTCCCAACCCAGCTGGGAGATCAAGGATGCTCCCTCAGAGACACCAGAAGAATTCTGGATTCTGGAAGCCAGGCTGTTTGGGTCTTGAAGGCATCTAGTCGCCCTTCTCTTCTGTTCCTTTGTGTTGGGAGAAGGGAAGATAGTGGGAGAATTTCACAGATATATTTATTTATTTAGAAATTTTATATAGCCTCCCTCCACTCACTCCCAGAAATTCTAGGCGGCTCAAACAGTAAAAACACAAAATTCAACGCACACAAGGTAACAGTACACAATTAAATAAGTCATTTGATGGGCTCCCTCACACTCTGGGTTCCCCAGGTCTGCTGGCACAACCATGGGTCTTCAAGGCCTTCTGAAAGAGTAAGGACCAGTCTAATTTCTGCAGGGATGATGCTCCAAAGGGAAGGAGTCACCACGGAGAAGGTCCTGGGTCTTGCCAGGTGGACCTCCTTAGGGGACGGGACTCACAACGTTCCTTGCCTCCCTGTTCTATGGGTTGGGGGAGTGTGACCAGCCAGAGATGGGTCCTGCAGATAGGCTGGTCCTAAGGTGGCAGCTCAAGGACCACCTATGAACAAGAGGTTCTCCTGGATTCTTCCATGGATCCAGTCAAGGGGAAACCATAAACAAAATTGGTTCCTTCCAGTTGGTGGTCCAACTCAAGGACCCTGCAAACCTGACCGGGTGTCTGGTGGCTATTTTTTATCCAGGTCACCACCAGCTGAGCTTGCAGGCCTTCCACTTCCCCTTGGAGAACACCGCCAGCTACGTGACGATGGTCCCGCTGAAGCCCATGCAACTCAAAACCTTCACCCTCTGCTTCTGGGTCCAGAACAGCAACCAGGGCCGGCAGACCGTCCTCTTTTACTCCACGCCCGAGAGCGAGAACGAGCTGGTCATCAGCGTCGGCATGGCGGTGGGGGTGTGGATCGGAGGCAAGTTCGTGCAGTTCGACCTCCACCGCCGGGCGGAAGACTGGGTCCACCACTGCGTGACTTGGGTCTCCAGCTCGGGCACCATCAACCTGTGGGTCAATGGAGCTGTGGGTACTGCCCGAAACATCCAGAAAAACTACATCGTCCAGAGCGGCGGGACGCCCATTTTGGGGAAAAGGAAGAACGCCATGTTGGACGTCTTCGCCGATGCCTTCTCTGGCTGGATGAGCCACGTCAACCTCTGGAGTTGGCTGCTGGACCAGAATGACATCCAGGAGCTCACCCTCTGCAAACACAGCCAGCAGAAAGGCGACGTTTTGGCGTGGGGAGAAACACACATGTCCCTCTTTGGCGGGGTCACCCTAGGCCCGGACACCAGCTGTAGGTGAATCAGAGCCTGAGTTTTGAGGTCTCTGGAAGAAAAAAAAACCCACCAGGCTTCTTTCCTTTCCCCCCAAATCTTTGCATTTGCCCATGCTGGGACTCTAACATCCGTGGGTATAAGAGAGGTGAACTTCAACTCCCAGAATTCCCCAGCCAGCAAAGCTTCCGGGCTTCCTTAGCTCCGGAAGCTTTGCTGGCTAGGGAATTCTGGGAGTTGAAGTCCATTCCTCTTACAGGGCGAAACCCCCCCCCCCCACTGGTGCCTAGAGTCTCTAATGCACTCCCACCCACCCCCCAGGTAGGACCAAGAGACCTACTGACCCACATATGTGGTGTGAAAGACAGTCGTTTGTGCAATGTTGGGGAAATCTGGAGCTAGGTCTCAGGTCTACTCCCAAAATTGAAAGAATGGGTTGAGGGTCCATCAAAGGAGGTCAAACTCCCTCCGCCCCGACCTTTGGATTGCCCCATGTCAAGACAATGTGGGGAGGGGGTGTCGATAGCAATGGATGAACAAAAGATTGCAAACCGATCATCCAGAGAATTTGCTCCCCACCAAAAAACTGCTAATAATTTGAGTTTAAAAAGCCCGCATGGCATATAAAAACCTTCATTTGTGGCTTGCTGGTTGTGGGGCATCAATAAATTCTCCACCAGTTCAACCCAAGCCTTATTTTATTTCTTAAGATATATATATATATATATATATATATTGCACACCATCTCCTAAATAATTCAATAATCCAATGATTCGGTATTCAGCACTGTAGTTGGAGAACACCAAACTGAATTGAAGGACATGGACAATTCTTAAATTGGAGGTTTCCCTTTTTTTAAAAAAAAATCTCAAATGTAATTTATGCAATGGACTGCAATGGACACACGTTTGATTTATCCTTCTCAGAAGTGTAAGTAGATCTCAAACAAACCCAGCTAACAAACAGGATTGGAACAAACACGTTGCCTCTTTCCAAGCTATATCCAACAACTATGTTTTATTTCGCAGCACTCAAAATAATAAAATAAAATACACCTGTTTGTGCAAAAGTATAATTCCCCCATACTTTGGCGGGAAAATACCCAGTGAAAAGAAACTAAAGAAAAAAAACACAAAAAAACCTATTTCAAGATATGTACAACATTCTCTTCGCTACTTCTCAATTTGCGGATATTTTTTTAAAAAAAATCAGGTTTGCTTTGAAAAAAGTTGATTCTGGTTGCAAGGGAAACAAACACAGCAACCTGTTTTGGAAAGCAAAAATAAAAATGACAAAAGAAATAGAAAACTGGCAAATTGTTCAGAGCCCAAGTTAAATTCAGTTGTAGAAAATATCCCCTGGGGTGGAAATTATTTTTAAGGTGGCCTCTAAATCCACTGCAGGCTTACCTTGAATGCAGGGATCTGTAGATCTGCCTCCAAAAAGAATGCATGAGTGATATCTAGCATCCTGGCTAGATCCTGGCTAAGATGAAACCCCTTGAGAGGCTAGCTTTCTACATTTAGGAAATGTTTTCCTATCTCAAATTTTTAACCGCCTGGGACCCGGAAGAAAAAGTTGAGATGGTTTTGTTAAATTTAGAAGTGGTTCTCATGAACATTGGGGCAGAAACAAACACTTTTCAAAGAGACCACTGTGGTATAGCATAAAACTTGCAAAATGCAGTTGTGTTATAATAAGACAGCCAGGGATTGGCCTGACTTGGGAAAATAAGGCTTTTAATCTAACCCATTTGCAAAGCTATTTCTTTTCATTTCATCTAACTAACTAAAGGCACTTCATCTAACACATCTTCAAGACCCCTGGGTTGTGTGTGTGTGTGTGTCACAAAATTCACCTCTCCACTTTAGAGGGGGAGACTCTTTCCACAGTTAAATTAGGTGTTATCTAAAAACAGAAGCCCAACATTATTAAGTGAAAATTATTTACATGCTCCCACATAAGGGAGCCCAAATGCATCCCTATTCAAGAACAACAACAACAAAATACTGATAATTTTTTTCAGAGTCCACCCGATGGAAAATCCTTTTTTTTTTTCCCCGAGCATTACACCCAGATTAGCTGCATCTCTTCCAAACCCAGGATCTTATTCCGCGCAAAATCTCGCTAACTCCAGGCCCAGCTTGGAAGGCAACGGCCGAAAAATGGCAAAAGTTTGGTCATCCTGTTTTCTCCTTGAAATAAGTTTTTGTCCAACAGCGAGGAAAGGAGACGCCAGGGGAGTTGCAAACCAGAGATGCTTAAGGTAGATTGTTTGGTGGCTTTACACGGGGAAAAATTTGACCGTTGCCAAGACCTTACAATGCGCTGCTTCTTTCACCATCCATTTTCTTGTTGTACGGCACGGAAACGGCAGTGAAATCTTTCAATTCGTCTTTCTCGGCCGGATCTTCGGTACCGTTCCTCTTAGCCATGATCTGGTTGATCTCCATAAAGGTTTTGTTCTTGGTTTCGGGGACAATAAGAAAGATGTAGACGGCGGTGGCCAAACAGACGGCGCCAAAAATGAGGAAGCAGTAGGGGCCCAGCCCTTGCTGAAGAAGGAACACGAAGATGGGGATATTTGTTAAAAGAGAAGATAAAAGTTGCCTCGGTCAGCAGCTCTACAAATTATTATTATTTTTTTAAAATTTGGGGAGGAAAACTTTTTTTGTTGTAGTTTAGAATGGTCACTAAATGAACGTCAAGAATTACCTTTGTGGGTCATACCACCTGTGATGACCCAAAGGGGCGTGGCACAAAAGCCACACAGTCACAAAAGTAGGTAAAGTCCCTTTAATACCTCCAACTTGGCCCCCAATGTCCAGTTATCATCGGCCGGAGGAAAAACTCTCCCAAGAAGAGTTTTTAAAGGGAAGAAATTCCAGCCGAACCCAAAGTACAGATAAATTATGAATGAAAACCCACACAAGCTACATGTCAGCCATTAACCAGACGAAACACACACAGTTGGGAGGACGCCAGAACCCAGATAAGACTTGACAAAGATAATTCACGCTTTGCTTCCAGCAAGGTTCTGTGTGCAAAATGCCCTTTTTATCCTGTTTTCCCAGCTGTGGCCAATGAAGGGAATCAGGGCCCCTTTCTCCCCCCATAACCCATGCTGCTCCCTTATCCGTTCCTCCCTGCGTGCCCTAGAATGAAGACAGGGTGGGTTTTCCTCTGAATTCCTTCTCCCTTTCTCTCCCTCTCCTCTGCTCTGCCCAGCCAGACTGTGCCCTTCCCCAGTTCCTTCCACAGCCACCAGAGCCACACTCCCACTCCCTGTCAGCTGCTCCAACTCCCCCTCGGAATCAGATTCCAACAGGGGCAGAGTCAGATTTCTAACTTTTGCATCATCTTTTAACGACACCATAATCCCTTGTGGGGTGGAGTCTGGGCAATTGAATGGAGCTAGCTGAGTATTTTTTTTCTACTGGCCGGATGCCCTTCCTGTTGCCAATGCGGAGTTTTGTTCGGCAGATATATTCTCATTGTGCCCAGAGAGAGACAAAGAGCTGCCTCTAACTAGGATCGAACTCACAGCCTCGTGATGATGAGGCGAGAACTCCACCTCTAGGCCACCGTGTCACTCCTCTCTATTTTCGCATGTTTACACGCATTAATCGGAACGCGGGGCCAACCCTGTCTCCCCCCCACCCCCATTGCAAAAACTTTCAAAACTTTTTACAAAGATTTTACCTCCAAATAGCTGAAAACCAGCCCCACGGTGAAATTCGACAGCCAATGCACCGAACCTCCCACCATGAAGGCAGCCGGACGAGAAGACTGGAGAAACATTTCCATTATCATAACGCTCGGAATTGGGCCTAGAAGGGAAGAAATTGGAAATAGAGAAAGGGAAGTGAGCGTCCTTTACCCGAGAAAAGCTAATTCATCTTCATGTCCCCGCTCCATCTTATGCCTATTCCTTCCCTATTGAGGTTGCTTCATGAGGACTAGACGCTTAAAGACGCCTACAGTATGGTAATTATATATAATTCTATTACACATTATTAAAAGAGATCTTTGACAAGATAAAAGCACTACAAAGAAGAGTGAATAGGACAGAACATAGAGAAAAAAAATAGAATTATGTTTTGACCATTATAAATGCATTTCTATTTAATCTTCTTGTTTCAGGTTACATCATAATGTCCTGCTTCTATAATCACTCATAAATCACTATTTATTTATTTTTTTTGCTCCAAAAAGTCCATCAGGGATTTTTTCCAGACAGAACTAAACGCAATTGCCTTTTTTTTTTTTTTCCTAAATGAAAAGTTAAAATTTTGCCACCGTCACTGTGGGCTAGAAACATGAGGGGTTTTTAATTCGAATAGACGAAATCTCAAGGCCACTTAATTTTACAATGTCCAGGACAATTGTGTGTTATAGAGACAATCTTTGTCATATTTAGTACTGAGTGGAGGGTGTGAATGCATTGAAAAGCCAACTTCGATTAGAATACACAGTCACAGAGTTGGAAGGGACCTTGTAGGTCATCTAGTCCAGCCCCCTGCTCTAGCAGGAGACCCTATACCATTTCAGACAAAGTGACTGTCCAGTCTCTTCTTGAAAGGAGGGAAGAGGGGAGGGTGGGATGGAGGAAGGGAGGGATAAATGGAGAGAAGCAGAGGCGGGGAGAGAGGGATAAAATGGAAGGCTGATTTGTAGGTGTCCTCTGAGCATACATCCACAAATCTACTCACTTGCGCCAATGGCATGTCCCACGACGTAAATGATTACGCAGGCAATGCTGATGTAGGGCATCCACCAGATCGCCTGTGGGGGGGGGATTGAAATGATAAATTATAAATATAATATATATATATATATATATATATATAATTATATTTAAAAGACATTGACACTTTGGAAAGAGCGCAGAGAAGAGCAACGAAGATGATTAGGGGACTGGAGGCTAAAACATACAAAGAATGGTTGCTGGAGTTGGATATGTCTAGTAAGTTTAATGAAAAGAAGGATCAGGGGAGACATGATAGCAGTCTTCCAGTATCTCAGGGGCTGCCCCAAAGAAGAGGGAGTCAAGCTATTCTCCAAAGCACCTGAACGCAGGACAAGAAGCAATGGATGGAAACTAACCGAGGAGAGAAGCAACCTTGAAATTAAGCAGAAATTTCTTCTTAAGCAGAGGGGTTGGACTAGAAG